TCTCTGATTTCATCTCAAACCCATATGGATTCTTTTGATTTTTCCCACTTTTTAAGCCGAAAGTGAAGTATAAAATGCTGCTATCTCAATATTCGGCGTTTTTATTGATTTCGTTCGTTTGAGATTTGGGGTATTGAAGGGTGAATCTGAATCGATTTGAGGGATCGATGTCTACGGCGAGTTCGAGCTCTGTAAGGAAACCTAGTGAATCTGTTCCTCTCCAGTTTCCGGCCGGCCTTCGTGTTCTTGTTGTTGATGATGATCCTACCTGCCTTATGATCTTGGAGAAGATGCTTCGGATTTGTCGCTACGAAGGTATCCTTTTCGATTCCGCTTGGATATTTTTTGTTTTTGGTAGCGGTTTCTCTCGAATCTGTGTTATTCACTTCGTTTTTCAAGTACCCCTATGCGATTTGATTGTTTCTTGAGCGTTCGAGTGAAATTTCTGTCACTTTTGCTATCGTTTCTTGTGATTTTGGATATAGGGTTCTTGATTTGAGATCGTGAGCTGGTTTGAATGTTCATGAGTTTGCTATAATTTTGAGTTGTTTTTGGATTAGGGAACATGTCTGTTAGTAATGGAGAATTTGTCTTGTTTTTGGGTGTTTCAGTAACGAAATGTAGTCGAGCTGAGGATGCGTTATCGGTCCTCAGACGTTACAAGAACGGGTTCGATATCGTTTTGAGCGATGTTCATATGCCAGACATGGATGGATTCAAGCTTCTGGAATGCATTGGACTTGAAATGGACTTGCCTGTGATTAGTAAGGAATACATATTGTTAGTTCATAATAGTGAATGATAGCTTGATTGGGACTGGTTTCTAATGAGTGGAGTTCTGTGTAGTGATGTCGGTGGACGACGGAAAAAACGTTGTTATGAAGGGAGTGACTCATGGTGCTTGTGACTACTTAATAAAACCTGTTCGAATTGAAGCGTTGAAGAACATATGGCAGCACGTTGTTCGTAAGCGGAAGAATGAATGGAAGGACTTGGAGCAATCTGGTGTTGAGGATGTCGATCGACAGCAAAAGGCGAATGAAGAAGCAGATTATTCATCTTCTGCTAATGAAGGAAGCTGGAGGAACTCGAAGAGGAGGAAGGAGGACATAGACGATGCTGAGGAGAGGGATGACTCATCGACCCTAAAAAAACCGAGGGTTGTTTGGTCCGTTGAGCTTCATCAACAGTTCGTGGGCGCTGTTAATCAGCTAGGAATCGAGAGTATGGATTTTCTTCTCGTTATTTCTTGCACTTAGTTCTTTGGATTTGTGAACTCTTAGCATGATTTTTGACTTCTCGAGGGTTTAAGTGTTCTCTAAACTTTGTAAAATACGATCTATAATTACAGAGGCTGTTCCAAAGAAGATTCTCGAATTGATGAATGTTCCTGGACTCACTAGAGAAAACGTTGCCAGCCATCTTCAGGTACGGACCGATCAAGAAGCTCGTTTATGTTCATGAATTCTTGTGTATCTTGTTCTCTCTGCTTGAAACGTTCCGAGTAGATTCTAAATATGCTGCACGTTTTCATGCATAGAAATATCGCCTCTACCTGAGAAGAGTAAGTGGAATGACACTGCAACAAAGTAATTTGAACAACACATTCATGAGTGCCCAAGAAGCATTTGGCTCGACGTTGAACGGGCTTGATCTTCAAACGCTCGCTGCTGCTGGTCAACTCCAGCCACAGAGCCTTGCTACGCTCCAAGCAGCGGGATTTGGTCGGTCTACAGCGAAATCAGGCATGCCTATGCCTCTTGTTGACCAAAGGAACCACTTTTTTAGCTTCGAAAATCCGAAGTTGAGATTCAGTGATGGACAACAGCCACATTTGAATGGAAGTAAACCAATGAATCTTCTTCATGGAATTCCGACAACGATGGAGCCGAAACAGCTAGCTAATCTTCAGCAACACTCTGCACAATCTCATGGAAACATGACAATGCAAGCTAGTGCCCAAGGAGGCCAAACTAGCTCTCAACTGATGCAGACACCTCAACCACAAGCTCGATCACAGATCCTAAATGAATGTACAGCAACGAGCGTTACAAGGCTTCCACCGACAATACAGCAGTCGATTTTGCCGAATGGAACCGCCGGTTCGGTTTTGGCTAGGAATGAATTTACGACTAACAGCAGAGGTGGAGGCTACAATCTAATTTCACCAGCCTCAACAATGTCAAATTTTCCCATGAACCAAACTGCAGAATTACCTGGTAACAGTTTTCCACTTCAAAGTACACCAGGGGTGTCGAGTATTGTACCAAAGGGAAGATTCCCGGACGAGGTTAACTCGATCTCAGATATTAAAGGATCTGAGGGTTTCGTGCCAAGCTATGATATGTTTAGGGATCTGCATCCTCAGAAGCCAGATTGGGACTTGCAACACGTAGGTGTGACCTTCGATGCATCGCAAGGTAGTCTTGACATTCCGACCGCAGCATTTGGTCATCAAGGGTATGCCTCTAGCCAACAAAATGGACATAACAGGCACACATCTACGGTAGGCAAGGCCATGTTCTTGTTGGAAGAAGGAAGTGACAATGGGAATGCCCAAAGTATGGGTCAACAACTCAATCCTCTTTTCGATGATGGCTCGGTGAGAGTTAAAATGGAACGAGCTTCGGAAACTAGCAGTCAAACCGACCTTTTTTCTGAACACTTTGGTCAGGAGGAGGACCTAATGAGTGCACTTCTTAAACAGGTTAGATTGCAGTACCATTGTATTTTGCGCAACACACTCCTTGTAACAGCCCAAGCCCACATCAGTTTGAGAGGGGAACGAAACATTCCTTAAAAGGGTGTGGAAATCTCTCCTTAGCAGAACCGTGAGCCAAAATGGACAATATCTACTAGCGGTAGGCTTGGGCTGTTACACTCTCCCTCCCCGGTGTGTTCGTAAGATGAATTATTACTAATAAACTTTGTAAATATGTTGTTTCACAGCAGCAGGGAAGCATTGCAACAGCTGAAAGTGAGTTGGAATGGTTTCATCATAATACTCCTGTTTAAGAATGTTGGTAGCATTGCAACAGCTGAAAGTGAGTTGGAATGGTTTCATCATAATACTCCTGTTTAAGAATGTTGGTCTAGCTTGGAAAGCATATGAACAGCCATTATGAACAGCCATTGCTTATCAGCAGGCAGATCATTTTAGATGTAATATTGTGAAGTTCATTTAGCACTGAAGCATAGTATGCAAATTGCATAATGTGCAGATTCTTTCGACCGCTTCCACAGAGAGACGAACTCGAGTCTGGTTGTGGAATTGGGCGCTACGTCGGTGCTCTTGGCTCATGGAATTGAGATTTTTGATGCAATTGCCAGGTTTAAGGACCCCTTATGACTCCATAACCTACTGAAACAATACTCTTCCTATGTTCATAGCAATTGCAGTTCACTTTCATGTACATATTCTGCTATATGGTTCAAGACACCAGTTTAGAGATACTAAGTTATCCTTTTGTAATCGTAAAATTTTGAGATTTTCATTGCCATTCATATTCGTCTTTCACTTTCAGCTATTTTCTCTCGTTTTATATAACATGGTGTGACTCAAGTCCATCGCTAGCAAATATTGTCTGCTTTGTATTGCCATCAGCTTCACGGTTTTAAAATATGTCTGGAGAGGTTTCTACACTCTTATAAGGAATGTTTTGTTCATCTCTCTTGCGTGGGATTTCACAATCTGCCCTTTGAGGGTCCAACATCCTCGGTAGGATCTCATAATCCACCAAACATCCTCTGTGGGATCTCATGATATTGTTAGTAGATATTAACTGTTTTAGTCTATTACGCATTGCCGTCAGCTTTACGGTTTTAAAACGTGTCTCAAGTTTCCACCCTCTTTAATGTTTCGTTTTCCCTTTCCAATCGACGTGAGATCTCACAATATATAATACATGCCCTTAAGTCCGTCTAAAATCTGTTCTCATAAATATAATTTTAACACTAAATTTCATAAGAAAAGAAACTTTCGAATCGAAAATGTTGCCCCAAAAAGAGTTCGAATCATAAATATATAAAAAACAAAGGTCCTAATTGATATATGAGGAAAAGTAGGGGAAACATTTATAATAACAAAATTCACAAAAGTTCAAAAAATACAAGCCAGGAGAACTGGCAGAGCCATGGTGTAGCTTCTTCTAGTGTTGAGTGACCATAAAACCTATCATTTCTCAGTGTTCATCTCAGTCAGTCCCTGAAAATGCTCCATTTCATCTTCAATCCTTCAAAGAATAAAACAATTAACAGCAGCTACANCTCTCGTTTTATATAACATGGTGTGACTCAAGTCCATCGCTAGCAAATATTGTCTGCTTTGTATTGCTGTCAGCTTCACGGTTTTAAAACATGTCTGTTAGGGAGAGGTTTCTACACTCTTATAAGGAATGTTCTTTCTTGCGTGGGATTTCACAATCTGCCCTTTGAGGGTCCAACATCCTCGGTAGGATCTCATAATCCACCAAACATCCTCTGTGGGATCTCATGATATTGTTAGTAGATATTAACTGTTTTAGTCTATTACTCATTGCCGTCAGCTTTACGGTTTTAAAACGTGTCTCAAGTTTCCACCCTCTTTAATGTTTTGTTTTCCCTTTCCAATCGACGTGAGATCTCACAATATATAATACATACCCTTAAGTCCGTCTAAAATCTGTTCTCATAAATATAATTTTAACACTAAATTCATAAGAAATGAAACTTTCGATTCGAAAATGTTGCCCCAAAAGAGTTCGAATCATAAATATATAAAAAACAAAGGTCCTAATTGATATATGAGGAAAAGTAGGGGAAACATTTATAATAACAAAATTCACAAAAGTTCAAAAAATACAAGCCAGGAGAACTGGCAGAGCCATGATGTAGCTTCTTCTAGTGTTGAGTGACCATAAAACCTATCATTTCTCAGTGTTCATCTCAGTCAGTCCCTGAAAATGCTCCATTTCATCTTCAATCCTTCAAAGAATAAAACAATTAACAGCAGCTACTCAGTCCCTGAAAATGCTCCATTTCATCTTCAATCCTTCAAAGAATAAAACAATTAACAGCAGCTACAACATAATGTGATTCTTCTCGTTCTTTCCGGGCTATTGCTGAACAAACACGAACACGAATAGTAGCATTAGGATGCTCGGAATTAACGAAGCTAAGTTCCTTCGGCTGTCGTTAACAGGGAATGAATAGTAGCATTAGGATGCTCGGAATTAACGAAGCTAAGTTCCTTCGGCTGTCGTTAACAGGGAATGTTTTTGGAAGTAGACATTCTTCCCCATTGAAGAACACTTTAGTGGGGAACCCATCTCCAGCAGCCATGTTAAGAACTTGTATGTTCTTCTTTGTAAATGATATCACAGATTGCTGTTTTCCGGGTACCCTCGGATCCCTTTCTGGGTGGACTCCGTCCGTTTCGCCTACGAGATAGTTTAGTCCAGGATTACCCTGCATAAAGATAGTATTATTGGCACCATCCAGTTCCAAGGTCGTCGCGTTGAACGAGTACATTGCCTGGAAACCAGGTGCTGCTTTCTTCATCTGAACTGCAGCAAACCAATCTGCAAAGTTCACTTCGTCCCAGTTGAAGAGAGTAATCCTTGCACTCCATCCGTCTCTATAATCGGTATACAAATGCCAATTGATACTCACACCACAGTTATCAGGACAAGGCATGGGATTGGGAATTGGGTAGTGTTTAAGACCAGCCCAAGCCACAGCCATGGCGGTCCTATTCTCAAACGGAACAAGAAGGGCTTCCGGTGGGAGGAGCATTGCAGAGGACGTTGCATTACATGTACGAGCAGCATTATGCGGGCATCCACAAGCACACGTTCTACACGGGACGACAGAATCGTTGTAGTAAGCTGAAAATGAAACACAGCATTTCACAAGCACACGTTCTACACGGGACGACAGAATCGTTGTAGTAAGCTGAAAATGAAACACAGCATTTTGGTGTGTCGTCCTTGACGTGGGTTATATTACAAACAACCTGCCAACTAGCCACTGCAGTCGAATTCAATGGTAAACCACTTGAGTCTGGGAATTCGCTAGGACTTACCCTCAATGGAGCACCACATTTATACGTCGGGTTTAGAACGCCACTGATCTTCCAATTCTGAGGTGGTGTAATCTGAGATCTATTGAGATCTGGTGGCATTTTAAAAACTTGCATTTGAAACGCTGAAATCGACTTGCTTGAGTCCATATGAGAAGGCAAGATCGTCCCATTTCGACAACAGAACGGGATCAACCCGAGCGTAGTGTCGTTGGCCTTAGTTGGAGGCAAATCAACAATTGTTGGCTTTTTTTCACAGCTTAATACATTGGCAAAGTCTAAATCCTTATAATAAGTGCCTTGTCTACCAAAAATGCAATCAGTAGAATCAACAACAGAAGGATAAGCACCTTTCATTGAATAGATGAACTCATCCTTCATCCATTCCCAGCTCAACTTCCAATAATCAAGACGACCAAGAGGATTATGGTTAGAAATTTTGACTTGTGCCCAATAACTTGAATCATAGGTTCTTGTCACATCATACATGATCGTTAGATCGCCATTTTGGCGAGGCAAGAACTCTTCACTAGTTGTGATGTTTCACATCATACATGATCGTTAGATCGCCATTTTGGCGAGGCAAGAACTCTTCACTAGTTGTGATGTTCGTTTTAACACTTGGATCGGGTCTACAACAGACGTGCATCTCACTCTTTCCTGATGTTTAGAGAAATGAAATTGATATTCAAACTCAAACCAAGCTCAAGAAATTGATATTCAAACGCAAACCAAGCTCAAGAACTTGATATTCAAACTCAAACCAAGCTCAAGAAATTGATATTCAAACGCAAACCAAGCTCAAGAACTTGATATTCAAACTCAAACCAAGCTCAAGAAATTGATATTCAAACTCAAACCAAGCTCAAGAAAATGATATTCAAACTCAAACCAAGCTCAAGCGATTGATATTCAAACTCAAACCAAGCTCAAGAAATTGATATTCAAACTCAAACCAAGCTCAAGAAAATGATATTCAAACTCAAACCAAGCTCAAGCGATTGATATTCAAACTCAAACCAAGCTCAAGAAATTGATATTCAAACTCAAACCAAGCTCAAGAAAATGATATTCAAACTCAAACCAAGCTCAAGCGATTGATATTCAAACTCAAACCAAGCTCAAGAAATTGATATTCAAACTCAAACCAAGCTCAAGAAAATGATATTCAAACTCAAACCAAGCTCAAGCGATTGATATTCAAACTCAAACCAAGCTCCTTGCTGAGAGAATCAAAGGGAAAAGATAGCTCCAAAAACCAAGAAAAACTCTAGCAACTACTCAGAATCTGATCAGAAACTGCAGAAAATTTGGATAAATCACCAGAATCTAACCTTAACTAAATATAAGCAGAAACCCAGATCATAAAATTTAGCAATTACTCAGAATCTGATCAGAAACTACAGAAAATTTGAACATATCACCAGAATCCAGCCTTGTATATACAAAGTAGCTAATGCAAAACAAGCCCAAAGAGACCCAGATCGTAAAATTTTCCAAAAGCTGAAGAACCGATCAGAAACAGATTTGGGATAAACCACTAGAATCTAGAACCATAGTTAATGTAAAAACAAGCAGAAGATCAGAAACAGATTTGGGATAAACCACTAGAATCTAGAACCATAGTTAATGTAAAAACAAGCAGAAGCCCAGATTGTAAAATTGTGCAACTACTTAGAAACTGATCAGAAGTAGCAAAAATCAGGAATAAATCACTAGAAACGAGAGGGAAAACGAAGTACCTAGTAGAGTTGGCCGAGGGCAGAGGTATCCATTAAATCACTAGAAACGAGAGGGAAAACGAAGTACCTAGTAGAGTTGGCCGAGGGCAGAGGTATCCATCATTGGCAAGAGAAATATTCGTAGGCATCGGACTATTCGGAGGGGCAACCCCAAATTGGGTCCCAACCAATTTGACTTGGACCTGCATCTGAGTGAAGTCTCCAGCAGTTTCAATCGCCGTCTTCAAATCGGTCATCGGAAAACCAGCAAAGACGGTCCCATTGCCGACGTTTCCGGGAACGCTATTCCCATCGGCAAGGACGGCGCCGGAAGCCGAGACCAAGAACTCATCGTGCTGAAACCCCACAAAAACCTTCCAAGACTTAAGCTCCTCAAGGCCGTTATTTAGAATCAAGAGAGTGGACTCAAATCGGTACGGCTGACGGGTCCGATCAGTGACATTAGGGGGGAGCTTCGTTCCTTGGTTGAAACTATAGGACAAGAAGATACTATTGCAAGAATCGGCGGAGGGAGGCGGAGCTTGGTCAGTTGGCTGACAAATCGAAAAGGGTATGACCGTGAAGATCAGGAGGAGGAGCAGATCGGCGGTGGCGGTGACCCAGAAGTTGGACGCCATGATTTGGGGCTTCTGGGGTTTTCTGGGTTTGAAAGTTGAAAAGATTTGAAACAAAATATAGTAGAATTTTTGGAGAGAGGAAACGCGTGGATTGTGGAAAAGAGAAAAACAGCGAAAGGGAAGCTGTAGGAATGGTGGAAACAAAATTCAAACCACGTTGCATATGAAAATTGTTGGCTTAGCAATCAAAAATTTATATTATATGGCCGTCTTTGAGCTGTTCTACAAGGACTTGGCCAAAAACCAAAAGGCATTCAACCAGTGGGGAGACTATCCGTTGATTCATTCTGATTTTTTTCCATTTTTTTTTTTTAAATTTGGAAAACAAAAGGTTTAAATCTTTTGGAATCTTTTTTTCAAAATGAAGCTCCTTTTATTTGAATAATTTTAGAGCCCTAAATTGGCACGTCCGAGGGAGGGAGCTAATTTATACTCTTAAACTCGATAAGTATACCAATTTAGATTATTGGTTAGTAACTCATCGATGAGTCGGTACTAAACGATTAAGAACAAACATAGAGTTGATTTAGCTAGTTCATCTAAGTTGTTGTTTGCTATATGAATAGAAAGATGCATTTCATAACGTCTTTATTATCACTTTTGACACTACTTAACTCTTTTTTGCACGTACGTATTATTTGTTGCTTACAGAACTCGATAGCACAAAAAAAAAAAAAAGTGGGATTAAATTAAATGAGTGGCAAGAAGCTACAAAATCAAGGATGACAATGAAAGCAATGCACCAATCAGCAAAATGTATAGAGGAGTTACTGGACAGATATAAAATTTAGCAAGTCTCCCTCGTTTGTAGTCTCCAATGGATTTCCATTTAAAAGTACTGTGGAACTAATTACAACTCGTGTGATCCATGCCCTCCTTTAGGACAAATCTGTCGTGCAGGGTAATCCAACTAAACTATCAAGTCACACAACCCTAACCAGCTCCATTTCCGAGTTACCACAGCAGTCTTCTAGGTCCATAAGACAGCTTAATGACTTTGAGTAATACCCTTAGACTAAAAAAAAAAAAAAAAAAAAAAANCTTTTTTCACCGTGGTAAATGGAAGTTACTTTTTTTTAAAAAAATTATATTTAATATAAAAATATAGAAATAATGAAAAGGACAGTTATCCAAATGATAAATTTATTTGGAGAAAAATGATTGGATGCGGAAAATCCATTTCCTTCTTCTCCACCCCATGCATCTCCGGATAACAATTATTTTATTTATTAACTATTTTCTTTTTCTCAAAATTGTTTATTTATTTTATAAATTTCTCTTTTTTGCTATTAATTTTTATTTTCATTGTTTACAATATTTTCTTCATCTTGTAAAATACGTCATATTTAAAATAAATAAATAAATAAAATGTTTCTAATGCTATATTTTTAACAAAAATTTATTTATAGTAAAACATATTAACTATTTTGAGAAATAAAATTTATATATATTAATACTCAGAAGGCAATTCCAAAATTACCCTATAAATTAAAAATTAAAGTAAATAAGTAATTAAGTTTAATGGAAAAAACAATCAACCATAATACTAGAATGACACAACATTTATATCCTCTTTACATAATTTATAAAGTTAAAATTCCATTTCACTCATTATTTCAACCATTTAATAATATTAGAATTCACTCGATTTCTTGTGAGATCCCACGTTAGTTGGAGGGGGGAACGGGGCGTTTCTTATAAGGACATGGAGAACTCTCTCTATCATATGCATTCTAAAAATCGTGAGGCTGACGTCTTCAAGTAACGAGTTAAAGCAGACAATATCTGCTGACGGTGAGTTTGAACTCTAACAAGCTCCCAAAGGGGTAGATTGTGAGATCTCACATTGGTTATTGAGAGGAATGAAACTAAAGCATACAATATCACTAGCAATAGGTTTGAGTTTGTTACAAATGATATTAAAGGCAGATACTAGATAGTGTGAACGTTGGGCCTCCAAGGGGGTGGATTGTGAGATCCCACATTAGTTGGGGAGGGAAACGAGTTTGAGTTTGCTACAAATGATATTAGAGGCAGATACTAGATAGTGTGAACGTTGGGCCTCCAAGGGGGTGGATTATAAGATCCCACATGAGTTGGCGAGGAAAACAAACTATTCCATTCCATTGCATCTTTTTTCATTAACTCGGTTCTTTTACCGTGAACCCTTTTTCCATGTTACTTTTTGTTTGGATTGCATTCAAGATCCAACCTATCATATAAAAATACCCCATAAATAAGAACAAAAATCTCCAATTAACAAGTTCAAACGGAGTTTTATTCTTCATCATCATCATTAATATCAATGATCATCAAGAGACAAGAATCAGCAATGACAATGCTCAACAAAATTCATTATCAAACTCTTCACCACAACACTACATTACTCATAATACTCTCCAACATCCAAAAAACAATGGTTAGTTAATACAACAAAAAAGATAGAGAGATCTATAGGAATAATAAAGAACTAACAGAATTTCACTCAATATACTTCTTCTTCTAGGTTAGGAGAGATCTATAGGAATAATAAAGAACTAACAGAATTTCACTCAATATACTTCTTCTTCTAGGTTAGATTTTGGTTTCTTCTTTATTGCTCTTTCTGATCTTCGTTAATGGCTGTTTTCAAGCGAAAACAGACCCATATGAGAGCGCCATTAACAACACAGCAGCTTGTTCTTCCTCTCCCAGCTTCTTCCTCTGCCTCTCAACGCTATATCTCTGCATCAAAACCTCTCTCCCCAAAGCCATGAGCCTCTGTTTCAAGCTATCTCTTAGCTTACTATTGCTAATATTGTTGCAACTATTGCTCCTTTTGTTCTTCTTATCCTCAACAACTCCTTTGCTTAACCCCAAAATCGCTCTCCTCTTCTTCCTACTTCTAATCCCACACGCATTGCAGAGAGACTGTTCGAAATCAGACAGAAAAAACAAAAATCTGAGACAAGGATCGAGAGATATAGCTTATGAACTCCATTAGAGTTGAGATCGATCAATGAAATCACCTTTGGACCAGCTGGGCCGCCTCTCCATAAGGGGGTTTTTGAAGTGCCGCAGTCAGCACAGGTCTTCTTGTTCTGCTCGTTCACTTGACTCTCCTCCGATGATACCCCGCCGGAGTTTTTGCTGGATATGTCCTCCGATTCCGATACCTACAACATTAGTAACCACCGATCAGAAACTGAAGTGAAAAAGGAAGGAAAATCTCAAAAACAGAGGCGAATACTCACTCTATCGCTTGGATCCATCATCATCCGTTGGTATTGGAGAGATCTAAGAAAAACCCAGATTTCAAAAACACGAAACTCGAAGTGGGTAGTGAGTGAAACGATTAGAGATCAGAGAATCAAACGATGGGTATCTCGCAAAGAGTCGATCAGAGACAGAGGAAACAGGGGAAGCGAGATCGAGAAGGGGGATCTGAGAAACAGATCAAACCCAGAAAGGAAAATCAATGGCGGAAACGAAAGGGGAGAAAGAGATCAGAGTAGAGTGAAAAAAATGGCAGAGATCGGAGGGAAGGCGAAGTATTGAAAGGAAAATGCAGAGGGAAAGAATTAGAGAGGAAGGGATGAGAGGATGAAATAGGAATCAAACCGACACAAATGCAGTGGCCGCAAGCGGGATCTGAAAATCCAATCTTAAATATATACAACCAAAAGAGAGAGCGCGGGGGCGGAAGAAACCCTAGCTACTCTCTCTGCTGTTTTTTTTAATGCCGAAAATACCCTTGCCTGAAAAACGCTTCTTCCCCCGCCAAAAAGTACCCCCAAATGAACAAAAAGGGCGCCACTCCCTTTGGTCGTTCCCTTGGACTTTTTTTTTTTCTTTTTTTTTTTTATTGAGTAACTGAAAATTTTAAGTTTTTTCCTTTTTGGGTTTGGTTTAATATTGTTAAAATAATAAAAAAAAATTGAATTTAGTTCATGAGTTGATATTTTTTTTTGAGGTCAACCCGATTAACTCGAAAATAGGATTACAATCCTAATCTACCATAATATTGAAAAGATTAAGAATATTTAACGATTGTAACTATGATAGTAATGCATTGTGACTTATAAATGTTTGATATTTGAACTTTATGAAATTTTAGTCGTCCGTAGTGGATAATTAAGATTATTTTAAATAATTAAAAAAAGAATGATCCAACCCTATAACTTGAAACTTTATTCGAGTTGCTCACATCATCAACGTGATTTTAAACTATTCTGATTAAATTTCATTTGAGTGGTAAGTTAACAAACAAAAAAAATACTCAATAAAATAAATATTTATAATATTTATAATTTATTTTTTAATTAAAAAAATCAAATGATTTTGGATAAATATTTATTTAGAAGCTAAGTTAAAAGGAAGAAAAAAGCACTCAAAATGTTGGTAAATAAAACATGTACTTTTGATTAATTAATATAGGCTAAAATAAAGACCAGACATGATGTTGACTTAATGGTCAATGCTTTGCATCTGAGCCGTTGGATGTCTGATTGGTCAACGCCCGCCTATCTCTTGGCGTTTGAATTTGGCGGCAACTTTAAATTTAACATTTTTTTAATTTTTAAATTGTGTTTTTTAGGGTCTCGAAATGAACACGAGCTTAGGAAAAGATGTGATTGAAAGAACACTCAATTTATTTGTTTTTTTTTTTGTGGGATAATTAGTTGGATAATGATATGATCAAGTTGCTACACACAATCTCGATAAGAATAGATTATGTTATCCTTCCTCCCAATCTTAATTAAGGGATTATAAGGTTGATAGCGTTATCTCTTTTACACGTCTCGCCGTCATTTAAGAATACAGAAGATTGAGTGTGGTATCACTTTCTAACGTCCTCGCTGACACTCGTTCCTTTCTCCATTCGATGTGGGACACCTACTAAATCCACCCCTTTTGAGGCCCAGCGTCCTTATTGGAACATGCCTTGTGTCTACTTCCTTCGGGGAACCCCCCTTTAGGGCCCAACGTCCTCGCTCGCACTCGTTTCTTTCTTCAATCAATGTGGGACCCCTACCAAATCCACCTCCTTCGGGAACCAGTGTCCTTACTGGGACACTGCCTTGTGCCTACTTCGTTCAGGGAACTCCCCTTCAAGATCCAGCATCCTCGCTTACACTCGTTACTTTCTCCAATCAATGTGAGACCCCTACCAATTCCACCTCCCTTTGGGGACCAGTGTCCTTACTGGTACACCGCCTCGTGTCTACTTCGTTCAGGGAACCCTCCTTCAAGCCCCAGCATCCTCTTCATTCATTTCTCCAATCAATGTGGGACCCCTACCAAATCCACTTTCTTCGAGGACCAGTGTCCTTACTAGCACACCGCCTTGTGTCTACTTAATTCAAGGAACCCCCCTTCAGGGCCCAACATCCTCATTGGCACTCGTTTCTTTCTCCAATTGATGTGGGACCCCTATCAAATTCATCTCTTTTGGGGACCAGCGTTCTTACTGGCACACCACCTCTTGTCTACCTCCTCCAAGGCCCATCATCCTTACTGGCACACCACTTCGTGTCTACTCCCTTCGGGGAACAACTTCCTCGCTGGCACATCGCCATCCTTACTGGCACACCACTTCGTGTCTACTCCCTTCGGGGAACAACTTCCTCGCTGGCACATCGCCCGATGTCTGGCTCTGATATCATTTGCAATGGCCCAAGTCCACTACTAACAGATATTGCTCTATTCGAGCTTCCCTTCAGGGTTTTTTAAATGAATTTGCCACGGAAAGGTTTCTATACACTTGTAAATATTCGAGCTTCCCTTCAGGGTTTTTTAAATGAATTTGCCACGGAAAGGTTTCTATACACTTGTAAAGAATAGCTCGTTCTCCTACCGGTGTGAGATCTCACACCTTATCTCATATCACAATTTTAATCAACACTACCAAAAATTTCTTGAAATTTGACGTTAAATTATTGCTTATTAATATATATAAACAAAAGTTAACAACTAACCGAATCAAAATAGAATTTAACCTATTTTATACAAATTCATAAGACCATCTCCTTTAAAAAAATAATAATAATAATCAACGAGAGAGCTGTTTGCAGAAAGCAGCTGAAGATGGGAGCAGGAACAAAAAGGGAGACTCTGGATGATGGCTATGTCTGATCACAGGGTCCTCTCTCGCAATTGGCGGCATCGGCTGCAGCGGTGGTGACCGGGGCGGCGAACTGTGGATATGGTAACTTTCCAGCACCTCTCTTCTCACGTTTACTTGATCTTCAAACAATCTCTGTGCTCGTACCGCCGTCATGTATAGACCGGCGGCGAGGAACACCGTCGCCAGCTCAAAAACTCCTGCTGCTGAGAACAAACCTTCTTTGATCACCAAGCAACTCTCTTTTGGACTCCACCAGTCCTTGAGATGACCTGATTCTACGCTCAATCCAATCAACAGTAAAATTTCTCCCACTGAGAAACTTATCCTGCCAACCAAAAACAAACCACCCCATATGAAAATGAGAGTGCCATCAAACGAATGTTTCAACTAGGCAAGTCCACTCTTAGCAAATGTTATCTTTTTTAGGTTTTTTATTTCGGGCTTTCCCTCAAAATTTTAAAAACCTGTAGGATAGGAATAGGTTTCACACCCTTATAAAGAATATCATAATCCACTCTTTGTCGTGACCCACCGTTTTTTCAGGCACTCGTTCCCTTCTCCAATCGATCTGGGACTCCTTCAATCCAATTCCTTCGAGGCCCAGCATCTTTGCTGGCATATCGCTCGGTGTCTGCCTCTGATACCATTTGTAACACCAAGCTCATCACGAGCAAATATTGTCATTTTTGGACTTTTGTGAGATCCCACATCGATTGAGGGAAGAACGGAACATTCTTTATAAGGGTGTGAAAACCTCTCACTAGAGACGTGTTTTAAAAACTTTGAGGAGAACCCTGAAAGGGAAAATCTAAAAAGAACAATATTTGTTATTGGTGGGCTTAGGTTGTGTAATATGCTCGAATATGAAAAGTATTAAGTTGGGGTGAAGGAATATGCTTAACTTGGGTTTGAATAAAGGAGAGAAATAATGGAGGTGTAGATGATTACCATGTTGAAACGAAGAAGAAAGCAGCTTGAAAGGTTAGAGATTTGGAAGTGGCAAAAGAAGGGTCCCAAGCAATGAGAGCAGGCGGCGGCGACTTACTCACTGCAATCAACACGTACAAATGTTGCACCACCATCATCACCGCCATGCCAAGAAACGCGCTCGCCGTGCACACCAGCGGCGTCTTCCCACTGCCGCTGTACCAGCATCTCTTCTCTCCCTTCTTGTTATTATTCTCGTCTCTACCCATCCATATCACCTATGAAAAAGGTCAGAAAAAACATGCAAACCCATATCTAAACCTAGCTCCTCCTAGGTTGTTAAAAAAACATGCTCCATTCGGTCACCTATTTCATTTTTATTCTCGCAATATTAGAATTTTAATTTTTTAAAAAACATGCTCCATTCGGTCACCTATTTCATTTTTATTCTCGCAATATTAGAATTTTAATTTTTTTAATATACCTAAAACATTCTAATAAATCCAATGATATACATATATGTGAGGTAGGGGCGAGGTGGGCTCGGTGTACAATGACAGGGACAATGTAACAGCTCAAGCTCATATTAACGGATATTGTCCTTTTTGGATTTTCCCTCTTGGACTTCCCCTCAAGGCTTCTTTAAAACGCGTCTGCTAGGAAGAGATTTTCACCTTAGGGTGTTGCATTCTCCCCTCCAACCGATGTGGGACATAAATTAACTAGTGGTATACCTTGAGGGGAAGCTCGAAAGGGAAAGTTCAAAGAGGACAATATCTAGTAGCAGTGGACTTTAGCTGTTATAGACAAAGAATATATTCTCATCTCTAGCTCAATTTAGCTAACGAAGAGAAATCTCTTCTTACTCTTTTACCCTATTCTTCAGCCTCGAGGGTTAAATAGACATTTCTATTGACAAGATCCTCTTCTTACTCTTTTACCCTATTCTTCAGCCTCGAGGGTTAAATAGACATTTCTATTGACAAGATCATACCGAACACAAAAATCGTCAAAAGGGTCGGTGAGATACGTACCTGAGAACGAGTGGACTCGGCAACGAGGCAAAGAATGAAGCAACAAAGGCCACAAAGGACGGTTAAAATGATGAGAAAAGTCCCCATTTTGCTGCCTAATTCAGAGCTCCTTCGACTTGGGTGAAGATCCTCATGTGTTACCGCCATAGCTTTTCTCCTTCCCATATGGATCGATCAAAGCTTCATTCGTGGTCGTCAATGGCGGATGTGTTTTAAACATTGGTAATGAAGAGAAAGAAGAAAGTGGAGAAGAACACGCAGAGAATTTGAATTACAGAATTACTTCCACCAAAGGTTGCTTAAAAGCTACAAGATTCTCTAACACCTTATTGTAAGCTTCTATCAAAAGTTTAACCTTTGGTGATTTTTTTTTTTTTTTTTTTAATNCAGAGAAGAACCCGAGCTCAAAAGCCGCCGCCGCGAGCTCCAATGTGGGGAAGGCTTTGGCTCATAGAGCAGTTTATGGAGCTCAAAAGCGGTGGACAGGAAGAAGAAAAACCCCCGTCCATGGCGTCCGGCTGCTGCCTAGCCGGCTCAGCAAAGTTTCTTTAGCTGATAACTCCTCACCCTCTGATTCTAATTTTTAACATATAAATAATTGTTTTTTTTTTTTTTTTTTTTTTGAGTTCTCTAATGTTGTTGATTGTAATATGTAACATGTTTGTATATACATTAGTTTCTGTCGGTAATCAAGATCGTTTAAAAAATTCAATAAGCGAATTATGAAATTATTTAAATTGGGTTGAGTTCAAATTAAATAAAATGGGTTTAAATTGAATATTCGAATTTATGGTTAGTTTTTTAAATATATACATATATTTAATTTAATTTCATAATTATTTTTATTATATTGTAAAATATCGAACCAACCTAACCTAAAAAAATTATAGTTGGGTTGGGTTCATTATTTGAGAAGGGTTGTTTGAGTTGAAAGATTTACACCGAACAATTGAGTTTGGTTTTAAAATGTCCAAACTCGACCCAACTCATATCATCAAACACCCTGAAAAGTTATTTAATTTTTAGGGTTTTGGAAAGAATTTGTGTTATCATCCAAAATATCATTCCTTTGTAATAATAAAGACGTTTTTCACTAATATATACCTACGAAATGAAAGATCTCACGGAATTGTATTGGGTCGATGAAATATCGAGAACTCCTGATCTCTCTTAATTCGATCTTCTCTTTTTGAAACCGTTACGAGACTCGTACTTTTTTAATAATTACTCTCGAAATTCCGAGGATAATAAACCCTATCTCTAAATACATCGATCAATCTCGCTTTCCCATAACCAAGAAGAAATTTTGTGAAGCTCCCAATCAAAGTTGAGCCATTGATCCATTTCCAAAGCTGAGTTCATGGAGGAAGAAGAAGACCTCTCCCCATTTTGAAGATCATCTTCAAATGCCATTTTCTCATTGCTTTTATTCCATTCAAAATCATTATTGAGTCTCTCTATTTCACCATCTAGCCAATCATATGGTCCCAAGTCCTCTCCTTCTTTGCTATGTTTTGAGCTCAACCCTTCTTCTTTTTCCTCTTTCTCTATATGGGGAGGGATTGTTTTCCCTTCGATTGCGTTCGTTTGTTGTCGACTTGCTCGATCGGTCATGTTTTTCCTTCGTTTGGGTGTGGGAGAGATGTCGAGGATGCCCGTTATAGGTGAAGTAGACTTAGCAGATGGTCGTGTTACAGTGTAGATTCTTCGACTAAGATGAGAGTTCCAGTAGTTTTTTATTTCATTGTCTGTTCGACCTGGCATATGTGCTGCTATTAAAGACCACCTGAAAAAGTAAATAAAAGAAAAACCAAGTTGGATTTGATTGATATGATATACTAAGAGGTCCACCAATTTGACAACTTAGTTGGGAGACGAATCGAGAAAAATAATTATAAGAATGATGGCGATGATGGTAATAAAAATAATGTCACAACTGATTGTTCGATCGATTTGATATCTATTTATATAAAGAAGAAATCATGTAATTAAGAGCATTCTTGTGGGTATAGTTGGTATTTTGAATTTGGAACTGAAACTAAAGTGAAGAAATTAACGATGGTTCTGTCGGATCAATGGATCAAGACCTTTAGTCTCTACCCGAACCCGATGAAAAAATGAAGTCACTTTTTATAAACTTCGTTGAGAATGATTCTAATCTAGTATATGAGACAATTTTAAAAATTGAACGAAACTGCAATCCTTCTACACAATTCTTCATGGAAATCAAACGAAGAAAATTATAATTATTAAAACATTTTTTTCTGAACGAAGTTCGAACACAAATTGAAGTTTAAATAGTAAATTAGGATTTAAATCATTTTCTTGATTATTTCTCACGCAAAACATAAATTGTTAAAAAGTATACAAAATCTGCCAATATAAGCATAGCTCAACCATACCTATTATCACAAATCATTAAAAAAATTACCTATTGCCAAAAGCGTTGTGCATCATTACAATCATTTGTTCTTCATCTGCAGTGATGTTCCCTCTCTTCAAGTCTCGCCTTAAGTAGTTAATCCATCTCAGTCTACAACTCTTTCCACACCTTAACAATCCTTTAGAATAACACCATAAATGTCTCAAGAACATGTCCAGAAAAAACCAACAAACAAAACATTCAAGATTTGGCTTTCGAGTAATTCCTACATTGTCTTTGTCCCGTTTTTCATTTTTGGATGCAAGACTGGTTAGGAATTTGAATAGTTAAAAGACTAGCTCGATTAAAGCTTCATAACAAACAAAGAAAAACACGAAACACGGTTAGCAGGGTCATGTCTCTCAATCAAAACGTTTGAGATTAAAACCTCACCGTCCTAGAATTTCTTTTCAAACAAAAATCTTTGGCTGAAAATACGCTCGAGGGAACCGATTCAAAACCGAGTTTGTTTATCGTTTGACAAAACTCGAACGATTTATGGGGAAGAGAAGTGAAAAATGACCTGCATTCTTGGGTAAGGATCTCCAGGAACCTTCACCATTGGCTTGAATATAGTTGGTTAAGAGCTCATCTTCTTCAGCTGACCACCTTCCCTTTTTGAGGCCTACTTTTTCACAACAAGGAGCTCTCACCATAGCTCTGATGAAAAACAGGTATCAGAGCAACAATGGCGGCGACAAGAACAACTGTTTGGTTAGGTAAGACAGTGTTTGAATAATTGTAGAGAGACAAGACAGACAGAGAGGAGCGGAGCTTAACTTGGGGAGCTGGTCCCCAAGTTATAGGATTTCCTAAATTGTGGGAGTAAAAAAGAAGAAAAAACTGAACGGTGGGATATCCTTATTTATTGCCACAACTGTGAGAGGGAGAGTTAGTGTGGTTACTTTGTAGACGACCCCCTTCGACTTAATTGCCACAACGGTGGAGCGCTCGGTCGATCTCTAATCCTACCATGGTTGAATTAAAAAAAATTGGAAGTTGGCATGTGGGGAGGCCTTCTTCACTTCGAAAGGGTTTAAATGTAAGGCATAGTACTTCCGATCAAATGTCAATCTAAGCATAACTCAACAGGTTTGACTTAGAAGGTTTGAATACCTATTCTCAGAATTGAACGAAAAGAATATGATATGGATTCTAGGAATGTTCGTGGGTTGAGATAGACCACTTGAAATGTCACATTCCAATACTTTCGAGTTACACATTGATATACCCGGCTAAAACTTATAATGCAACTTTTAGCTACTTGACTCAGTTGAAAATCCTTATGTCATTACTGTTGCATGTGTGCACATCTATAAAACTGCTATCATGGTAAAGTAAATCTTTTTTTGTTTCGAGGAAGTCATCATCTTCCCTCGTGAGCGAGATAATGATAGCTTTCGACCAAGAGCCCCTTGACAACCCTGCTTTATTAGGACAATCATTTTTCATGGGTCGAAAAACCCTTCCTCCGACCCTAATTTAGAAGAAATGGTCTCAACTTTTGTATCACTCACAAACTATAGTTAGAATATCAGCTTACACAATACTTCCAATTGAGATGATTTGAAACTGAAGTCATGATGCCAATCATCAAACTCACTCAAATGGCTATTACAAATATATTTGTTCCTATCTTCGCAATGTCATATGAATAATCACTCAAAATCGATCTTTTACTTGTTATGTTTCAATAAAAATCCTTCATCGTTTACAAGTGCTTGAATGAGCTTCCTTCCAATCCACCTTTTTAGTTCTTAAATGCATGTTTGTGTTTTATTGTAACTAAATTGAAACCATGCATCTAATAAAACACTACAAAAGAATACCAAATAACACGAGAATTTTTGTTCAAATGACTCAAAACATATGGGGGGTTAGATTCAGCCAAACCATCTCCATGGATAAGAAACTTTGTAGTTTGATAGAAGTTTTTACAAAGTTTTGCAGCCTTCTTTTAATTTCCTACCGCTCGGGTCGAGCTCATCACGTCGAAGCAAACTTGGCTGAGATGCAAACTGATCGACTCGTGATGTCAGGGCGTTTTGCTGTCACGTTGAGACATTATGATCGAGTGAAATAATCCAACCACTCGCTCGAGCGCCAACTAAATTCACCCCCCAATATGGAGAATAGCTATCCCTGAAGAAATGGATTTTAAAAGAGAACTCATAAAGTTTCTCACTAACTCCCCAACCTAAACTGTGAAAGAATTCAATTTGGCAAGCAAGTATATTAAATATAAACCCACTTGCAGAATGGTAGAATCAAAGGGATCAATGCAGTGGTCCAGATTTAGCAAACAGACAAGTATTCCCTCAAAAGCGAAGGAATATCAGTAGCTAGCCATCAATACACTGAAACGTTGTTTTGTCAGCAACAACAAGTTGATGATAGCTGATCCCTATGCATCGGTCTGACCCTTCCAAAATTTAGTAGATATTGTCCTTTTACGCGTCTACTAGGAAGAGGTTTATACACCCTTATAAACAATGTTTTGTTCTTCTACTCAATCGATGTGAGATCTCACAATCCACATTCTTCAGGATCCAGTGTCCTCACTGGCACTCATTCCCTTCTCACATCAATGTGGGATCCCCCAATTCACCCCCTTTAGAGCCCAGCGTCCTTGCTAGCACACCGCTTCGTATCCACACCCCTTTGGAGCTTAGTCTCCTCACTGACACATTGCCCGATATCTGGCTCTGATACTATTTGTAACAGCTCAAGCCAACCGTTAGCAGATATTGTTCTCTTTAGGTTCTCTCTCAAAGTTTTTAAAACGCGTTTACTAGAAAGAGTTTTCCACACCCATATAAAAAATGTTTCATTCTCCTTCCCAATCGATGTGGGATCTCACATGCAGCGTGACCGAAGAGTGGTTACGCCAACACTAGGGCAACAAAAATTAAATGAAATGCAGAAGGTACAAAAAGGAGGCCAGATATTGATAGAAAAAGTGCGTGACAACTATAAAAAGGTAGTGAAATATGAAATCAGATCGATTCATTAAAGCCGGGCAAGAATTCTCATCATCTGAAGAAGACCTCTAGTTTCTTTCCAACCAAATACTTCAAAGAAGAGCAAAGATACCACTTTTCAAGAGAGGATGGACAAATTATGTCTATCGTGTCACAACGTCGAACCTCAATAGAAAAGGAACATCCCTTTAT